ATAGAAATGAGACCATCTCAGGTAGGGGTTACCTGTATCCACAATCTGTCATATTTAATTTGATGTTTTTAAACAGACCTAATAATATATTCTGAGCAACATAATTAAACTTTATTCTGTTCAAATGTAAATATGAGAATCAAGCAAAGGTGGTTATAATAAGTATTTCTGAAATATACAACAGACTTGTTGACATGGTTTCAATATACACAAGGGAGGTGTTGACAGTGTTTCTGTATACACAAGGGAGGTGTTGACAGTGTTTCTATATACACAAGGGAGGTGTTGACAGTGTTTCTGTAAAAACAAGGGAGGTGTTGACAGTGTTTATGTATACACAAGGGAGGTGTTGACAGTGTTTCTGTAAAAACAAGGGAGGTGTTGACAGTGTTTATGTATACACAAGGGAGGTGTTGACAGTGTTTCTGTATAAACAAGGGAGGTGTTGACAGTGTTTATGTATACACAAGGGAGGTGTTGACAGTGTTTATGTATACACAAGGGAGGTGTTGACAGTGTTTATGTATACACAAGGGAGGTGTTGACAGTGTTTATGTATACACAAGGGAGGTGTTGACAGTGTTTATGTATACACAAGGGAGGTGTTGACAGTGTTTCTGTATACACAAGGGAGGTGTTGACAGTGTTTCTGTATACACAAGGGAGGTGTTGACAGTGTTTCTGTATACACAAGGGAGGTGTTGACAGTGTTTCTGTATACACAAGGGAGGTGTTGACAGTGTTTATGTATACACAAGGGAGGTGTTGACAGTGTTTATGTATACACAAGGGAGGTGTTGACAGTGTTTATGTATACACAAGGGAGGTGTTGACAGTGTTTCTGTATACACAAGGGAGGTGTTGACAGTGTTTCTGTATACACAAGGGAGGTGTTGACAGTGTTGCTGTATACACAAGGGAGGTGTTGACCGTGTTAATGTATACACAAGGGAGGTGTTGACAAGGTTTCTGTATAAACAAGGGAGGTGTTGACAGTGTTTATGTAAAAACAGGGGAGGTGTTGACAGTGTTTCTGTATACACAAGGGAGGTGTTGACAGGGTTTCTGTATACACAAGGGAGGTGTTGACCAGGTTTCTGTATAAACAAGGGAGGCGTTGACAGTGTTTATATATACACAAGGGAGGAGTTGACAGTGTTTCTGTATACACAAGGGAGGTGTTGACAGTGTTTATATATACACAAGGGAGGTGTTGACAGTATTTATGTAAAAACAGGGGAGGTGTTGACAGTGTTTATGTATACACAAGGGAGGTGTTGACAGTGTTTATGTGTACACAAGGGAGGTGTTGACAGTATTTATGTAAAACCAGGGGAGGTGTTGACAGTGTTTATGTAAAAACAGGGGAGGTGTTGACAGGGTTTCTGTATACACAAGGGAAGGGTTGACAGTGTTTATATATACACAAGGGAGGAGTTGACAGAGTTTCTGTATACACAAGGGAGGTGTTGACAGTGTTTATGTATACAGAAGGGAGTTGTTGACAAGGTTTCTGTATAAACAAGGGAGGTGTTGACAGTGTTTATGTATACACAAGGGAGGTGTTGACAGTTTATGTAAAAACAAGGGAGGTGTTGACAGTGTTTATGTAAAAACAGGGGAGGTGTTGACAGTGTTTCTGTAAAAACAGGGGAGGTGTTGACAGTGTTTATGTAAAAACAAGGGAGGTGTTGACAGCGTTTCTGTAAAAACAGGGGCGGTGTTGACAGTGTTTATATATACACAAGGGAGGGGTTGACAAGGTTTCTGTATAAACAAGGGAGGTGTTGACAGTGTTTATGTATACACAAGGGAGGTGTTAACAGTGTTTATGTATACACAAGGGAGGTGTTGACAAGGTTTCTGAAAATAGCACAAAAAGTAATGATCAATAGTGGCAATCTTGGAATTTAAGGTTGGCATCAAAATAGAACTCTTGATCTGGATTAAGATATCATCTTATAATACATCTATACACTAAACCCTCACCTCTCTGTCACCATACTTTGAGGACATTCTGTAATACATCTATACACTAAGCACTGACCTCTCTGTCACCATACTTTGAGGACATTCTGTAATACATATATACACTAAACCCTGACCTCTCTGACACCTGACTTTAAGGATAGCCTGTAATACATCTATACACTAAACCCTGACCTCTCTGTCACCAGACTTTAAGGATATTCTGTAATACATCTATACACTAAACCCTGACCTCTCTGTCACCATACTTTAAGGATATCCTGTAATAAATCTATACACTAACCCCTGACCTCTCTGACACCTGACTTTAAGGATAGCCTGTAATACATCTATACACTAATCCCTGACCTCTCTGACACCTGACTTTAAGAACATCTAAACACTAAACCCTGACCTCTCGGACACCATACTTTGAGGACATTCCGTCATACATCTAAACACTAAACCCTGTCCTCTCTGACACCATACTTTAAATATATTCTGTAATACATCTAAAAACTAAACCCTGACCTCTCTGACACCATACTTTAAGGATATCCTGTAATAAATCTATGCACTAAACCCTGACCTCTCTGACACCATACTTTAAATATATTCTGTAATACATCTAAAAACTAAACCCTGACCTCTCTGACACCATACTTTAAGGATATTCTGTAATACATCTATACACTCCCCCCTGACCTCTCTGTCACCATACTTTATGGATATTATGTAATACATCAATCCACTAAACACTGACCTCTCTGTCACCATTCTTTGAGGACATTCTGTAATACATCTATACACTAAACCCTGTCCTCTCTGTCACCATACTTTGAGGACATCATGTAATACATCTATACACTAAACACTGACCTCTCTGTCACCATTCTTTGAGGACATTCTGTAATACATCTATACACTAAACACTGACCTCTCTGTCACCAGACTTTATGAATATTATGTAATACATCTATACACTAAACCCTGACCTCTCTGTCACCATACTTTATGGATATTATGTAATACATCAATACACTAAACACTGACCTCTCTGTCACCATACTTTAAGGATATCCTGTAATAAATCTATACACTAAACCCTGACCTCTCTGACACCTGACTTTAAGGATATTATGTAATACATCTATACACTAAACCCTAACCTCTCTGTCACCATACTTTGAGGATATTCTGTAATACATCTATACACTAAACCCTGACCTCTCTGTCACCATACTTTAAGGTCATCCTGTAATACATCTAAACACTAAACCCTGACCTCTCTGACACCTGACTTTAAGGATATCCTGTAATACATCTACACACTAAATCCTGACCTCTCTGACACCTGACTTTAAAGATATCCTGTAATACATATATACACTAAACCCTGACCTCTTTGACACCTGACTTTAAATATATTTTGTAATACATCTATACACTAAACCCTGACCTCTTTGACACCTGACTTAAATGACATACTGTAATACATATATACACTAAACCCTGACCTCTTTGACACCTGACTTTAAATATATTTTGTAATGCATCTATACACTAAACCCTGACCTCTCTGACACCTGACTTTAAGGACATCCTGTAATACATCTATACACTAAACCCTGACCTCTCTGTCACCAGATTTTAAGGAAATCCTGTTATACATCTATACACTAAACCCTGACCTCTCTGTCACCATACTTTAAGGACATCCTGTAATACATATATACACTAAACCCTGACCTCTCTGACACCTGACTTTAAGGATATCCTGTAATACATATATACACTAAACCCTGACCTCTCTGTCACCTGACTTTAAGGATATCCTGTTATACATCTAAACACTAAACCCTGACCTCTCTGACACCATACTTTAAGGATATCCTGTAATACATCTATACACTAAACCCTGACCTCTCTGTCACCATACTTTAAGGACATTCTGTAATACAAATATACACTAAACCCTGACCTTTTTGACACCTGACTTTAAGGACATCATGTAATACATTTATACACTAAACCCTGACCTCTCTGTCACCAGATTTTAAGGAAATCCTGTTATACATCTATACACTAAACCCTGACCTCACTGTCACCAGACTTGAAGGACAACCTGTAATACATACATACCCGAAACCCTGACCTCTCTGTCACCAGACTTTAAGGACATCCTGTTATACATATCTCGGACAAGTTCAAGTTTCCGGGTTGTCGGGTTAAGGTCAAGGTCACTGTTACTATTTTAAGAAAATCCTTGTCAGCGCTCTACCAGCTTTATTTCTTGAGGGATTTTGATCAAACTTCACACAATTGCAAATGACTATAATATTTCGGACAAGTTCGAGTTTCAGAGTTGTTTTGTTAAGGTCAAGGTCACCGTTACTATTTTTAGAAAATCCTTTTCAGCGCTCTAGTGGCTTCATTTCTTAAGGGATTTTGATCAAACTTCACACAATTACAAAGGAAAATAATATCTCGAACAAGTTTCAGGGTTGTCAATCAATTTATTTTATATAATTACTCTATTATAATACTAACATTACAATTTCTTGTATTATTATTACATTAAATTCAAAGGGCACCATTTTTATAAATCATTACAGTGTAATAGCTAGCAGGGGCCGGTAGGGACATGTATTGCTTTAGCAATACTCAGTATGCTTGTTCATCTATACACTAAACCCTGACCTCTCTGACACCTGACTTTAAGGATATCCTGTAATACATCTATACACTAAACCCTGACCTCTCTGACACCTGACTTTAAGAACATCCTCTATAACATGTAAAAGTAAAGGCTGAATTTACTGACACCTGACCATAAGGACATCCTGTAATAAACAGTAAAACCTGCCTCGTCATGACAGTGACATGTTTGTATAATATATGACATGATTTTATTAACCGAAAAGATGTGTTTGATTGTCTGTGTTTACTGAAACACTGTTTGATCTGACCTAATTATCAAGCCCTTCTTGATGCTGGTAATCGCTGATGTAATATTTGTTTCATTTCCATAGAACCGTGTGCTGGATTTGTTTGTGAGCCGCCAAAAGTGTGCCAGCTTGGCAATGAGCGTAGACCTGTGTGTCGCTGTGCAGAGACATGTCCGGACACGCTAGAACTTGTCTGTGGCTCTGATGGTGCAACTTACAGCAACATTTGTCGACTTGAGATGGAGGCTTGTCGAACCATGCGGGACATCCGACTTCATCATTCTGGCAAGTGTCAAGGTATGCTTGTGCATTTTTTTTTTTAAATTTAATATTTGATTGAAAAATGATATTGCATCATTTACAAAATTTTAGGAAATATCTAATATTTTTATCATACCCCTAAATTCTTCATTCTCCATACTGTGCTGTATATCTGCCTGTCAATTTTGGATAAAATATATATTTATTTGTATGATTTTTTCTTCAATACAATTTTACTAACACTGAATGATAAAAACATCCCCTAACAGAGGTGTTTATGTTACTTATGTAAACTGCATCAATGGATACTCCTGTCACAAGTTCACTGATCTCACCCCCGCGGCGACACCGAATGGTTGTTGGCTATACCACCACAGCCTTCAGTGGTGGGCATCTTGTACCACTTTTTGTTAATTATAGATGGGTTCAATGTTGATCCACTGTAATTTAATGTGCTATATCTACTGAAATCGTTGATGTTGACCCTGAAGGCTGGGGTGTGTTAACAGTAGTCATGTGTGGGGGATACCTCTGACAGGCCATGTGTTTTTACACTTACACTGAACTAGAGGATTGCAGCTATGAACTACAGATTTATTCAAATTTTTTGAAGATTTTAATGTTTTTCATACTTTTGTACCTGGTATAAACTGATCAATGACATTCTGTAAAAATATATGCTTGGCATGAAACATTAATATTTGATTTGTTTTGTAAAGCAAAAATACAGCAATGTCTACCGTAAAAGAATGATTGATTTATTTTGTGAAAAATAGGAAAATGATAACAATGTAACCATACTTATTTTAGCACACTCAAATTTTAGTGCATTATTGAATTTTGACAGATAAGTGCATTGATGTATTGGCATACCCACAATATATGTAATAAGTGACAATTAATTTATAGAAACATCGAATAGCGCTATCATAATTTAGCATAATAGTTAAAGCGCTTCAAGTGCTAAAATAAGACTGCCGTTAAATGTGTACATATAAATTATTAAATCAGTTTAGTAAAGTTGCAATCCTCTTACAAGAAAATTTTCTTGAATTATCTGTTTTATCATCAATACTCCCATAATATTAAAATCTGTGTGCCAGAGGCTGAAATTGGAGCTTATGCTTTTAAATTTTTTAAAAACCTTTTAAAAACCTTTAAAAATGCTTCAGCTTAATTGCTTGGATTAAAAGTGCAGATAATTCACATTAATTTTTTGAAAACTTTTTTTTTTTTTTTAAATTTCACTAATTTTCACTATAAATTCACAGGCTTGCTTGTCCTTCCAGTTAATGCACAGAAATGACAGGTTGTACGAAACTTGGAATTTAAATATGTAAATTAAAGTTTGATTGAATTGGATTTTTGTTGGATGAATAACTTTTATTGAGAATAGAAAATGATTTCAATGTAATATCTTGGTAATTGGAATAATGTGAGACTGTTCTGGTAAAGCTACTGCCTGAGCATTATTTGGTAGTAAGCAAAATTTCATATTAAATTATTTGACATTCCAAAAACTCAAAATTCAAATTTCAGAAAAATATGTATCTAACAGGTGTTTTTGAAGGAGATTCAGGAAAGGAAACAAAGTAAAAATACCAAAAAATAAGCTATTACTTTGAAAATTGAGACATGTCTAAAAAAAAGAGCAAAGGATTCAGAAATCAATGCCAAATATTCATAGTAGAAAAATGTTTGAAATAAAGTAAAGGAATAACGTATAAGGTAACAACTGGATAATCCATCATACCTCCACTGGGGAAGCCTGCCTCACACTTATGTTAGCCAGGATTACAAGTGTGCTCATCATGCTTGTAATTCTATTAATCATAAATATTTAACTTACTCATTTTAAACAATAAGTCAAATGTTATCCTAGGTATTTTCACTACAATAATATCAATTTTGACTTTTTACTGTTACAAAGAATTTATTTCTATAGAAATACTAGTCATTTTACACTATCAAATTTAATATAAAGAAAAGCAACTTAATAATGTTATAGCCCTTAATACTTCAAAATTGATTTTTTAAATATTTTGTAAAAAATTGTGAAAAATGAACAATTACACAAAAAATAATAATGTCACACCTAAAAAAAAAAGGAAGAAAAAAAGTAAGAAAAAAAAAAACATTTTTTGGTTGTAAATGACTCCTAACTCAGCCCCTGGACCGTGAACCTGTAACAATATACGCATGATGCTGTGTAGGGTTCCTACACCATTGTTAGCCTGTGGGAGCTTACGGGTGTACAAACTAACTAACCATCACATGGATCATTGCTGACTTACTAACCCTCTATATATAGCTACTAATCCTCGCATTTAGTGTCCAGGTCAGTCTCGGTCAGTCTCAGCTCACCATGCAGTCTCAACATGTCACACCCATTTAAAATAGGAAATCTGCCAAATCATCCAAATTGTCAAATGTTTTAACAGTTTTTAAGGTTTTTCTTTATCTCCATGCCAGAATGAATTTTCACTGTGGTTTATCCACAAAGTTAAGATTTTTTTTGAATTTTTTTTTTTATTATTTTGGGTGACATTAAGGATAAGAAGCTCCATGAGTGATGGCCCAGACATGACCTGAACCTTTTGTGTATTGTTTGATTGGTTGTGTATGGTATGGTATGTGTATTTTCAGCAGTATCGGGGCCCAATGTAAACATTGTTGTTCAGGACGAAGTAGAAGCATATCAGGGTAAAAAAAATGTTCAGTACAACCATGTCAAGTTTCCATGGCAACAGACATACTTCTCTGCTTCTTGTCTCCTGGCTGGTCGAAAGTAATACAAAATACAAGATCTTGTAATTTATGATATATTAAACAAATTCCAGTTTTGTTAGAATTGAGGGTAATGGAGAGACATACATGTTCCCGAGAACTTCTTCCTTGATTTCTGTAACTTTAACTACATTATCAATAACCACTTCATACCTTTACAAACTTAGCTCTTTATTAAAAGAAGCAGATATGTTTTGGTCTGTGTTACCATGGAAATGCCTCACTGTTTTGTACATCTGTAGAAATGCCCCTCCCCTCTTCCAAAGCAACTGGTCTTTTGTACATCTGTAGAAATGCCCCTCCCCTCTACCAAAGCAACTGGTCTTTTGTAGGTTCCCCCTTGAAGTTTCAGTTGAGTTGAATCCCCTGTATTTGTCTAGCTGAAGTGGGTGTCCTCTGTTTTGTAGCCATTTCTTCTAAGTGTTCATTCACTTTTTAAAACAATCGAAGTTTGGATAAGTAAAGATTTCAAATTAAGTCAGCTCATCGAAGCTTAATTAGATTATTTTATCAGATAGAAGTCAACCCAGGTGTTTAAAAAAAATATCTTGGGTAGCAAAGTATTAGCAGCTGTCAAAAACTCTATTCTGGATGTTTCTTTTATATTTCTGCAAACATATCATGGAAAAATGCTCAATTATATGTTGAAGTAGAAGTTAAAAAAGAGCTGACATCTATCGTTATTATACAGGCTTAATATTTCTGGACCAAACAGGTATTTTAACAATTTTTGATAACTTTGTTTTATAGATTGAAATCTAGTTTTAAAACATCAATGGGAACTAGAACTAGAACATTTGATGAAATATAAAAGTTTGTTGGTACATATCAACAGGTGACACAATCATGATGTAATACTTATCATGAGTTGGTATGCATATCTACTACAGCCACTTATTATCTGTATGCCAATGTACAAAAATTGAAATCCAAATACTTCGCAAATTCAGTCACTGGAAACTGGAATTTCCACTTCAAAACATGAAGAGCAGTTGAACTAAGACAACAAAAACCTTAAGGGGAGCTAATCCAACTGATTATTTGTCATCCATAGAGAGTTAACACAAGCTGCAGAAGGATGTAAATCTCCTGACTGACTGACTGAAGGAAACATACAATATCTACTGACTGACTGACTGAAGGAAGCATACACTATCTACTGACTGACTGGAGGAAGCATACACTATCTACTGACTGACTGAAGGAAGCATACAATATCTACTGACTGACTGACTGAAGGAAACATACAATATCTACTGACTGACAGACTGAAGGAAGCATACACTATAATCTAACTGACTGAAGGAAGCATACAATATCTTCTTACTGACTGAAGGAAGCATACACTATATACTAACTGACTGAAGGAAGCATACCATATCTTCTGACTGACTGAAGGAAGCATACAATATCTTCTGACTGACTGAAGGAAGCATACAATATCTACTGACTGCCTGAAAGAAGCATACAATATTTACTGACTGACTGAAGGAAGCGTACAATATCTACTGACTGACTAAAGGAAACATACACTATATACTGACTGACTGAAGGAAACATACAATATATGAAGGAAGCATACAATATCTACTGACTGACTAAAGGAAGCATACACTATCTACTGACTGACTGGAGGAAGCATACACTATCTACTGACTGACTGACGGAAGCATACAATATCTACTGACTGACTAAAGGAAGCATACACTATCTACTGACTGACTGACGGAAGCATACAATATCTACTGACTGACTAAAGGAAGCATACACTATCTACTGACTGACTGACGGAAGCATACAATATCTACTGACTGACTAAAGGAAGCATACACTATCTACTGACTGACTGACGGAAGCATACAATATCTACTGACTGACTGAAGGAATCATACACTATCTACTGAATAACTGAAGGAAGCATACACTATCTACTGACTGACTGGAGGAAGCATACACTATCTACTGACTGACTGACGGAAGCATACACTATCTACTGACTGACTGAAGGACGCATACAATATCTACTGACTGACTGAAGGAACTAACTGACTGAAGGAAGCATACACTATCTTCTGACTGACTGAAGGAAGCATACAATAGCTTCTGACTGACTGAAGGAAGCATACAATATCTACTGACTGACTAAAGGAAGCATACACTATCTACTGACTGACTGAAGGACGCATACAATATCTACTGACTGACTGAAGGAAACATACACTATCTACTGACGGACTGAAGGAAGCATACACTATCTACTAACTGACTGAAGGAAGCATTCAATATCTACTGACTGACTGAAGGAAGCATACTCTATATACTAACTGACTGAAGGAAGCATACAATATCTACTGACTACCTGAAGGAAGCATACAATATCTACTGACTGACTAAAGGAAGCATACACTATCTACTGACTGACTGAAGGACGCATACAATATCTACTGACTGACTGAAGGAAACATACAATATCTACTGACTGCCTGAAAGAAGCATACAATATTTACTGACTGACTGAAGGAAGCGTACAATATCTACTGACTGACTAAAGGAAACATACACTATATACTGACTGACTGAAGGAAACATACACTATCTACTGACGGACTGAAGGAAGCATACACTATCTACTAACTGACTGAAGGCATACACTATATACTAACTGACTGAAGGAAGCATACCATATCTTCTGACTGACTGAAGGAAGAATACAATATCTTCTGACTGACTGAAGGAAGCATGCAATATCTACTGACTGAGTGAAGGAAGCATACACTATATACTGAATGACTGAAGGAAACATACAATATATACTGACTGACTGAAGGAAACATACAATATATGAAGGAAGCATACAATATCTACTGACTGACTAAAGGAAGCATACACTATCTACTGACTGACTGAAGGACGCATACAATATCTACTGACTGACTGAAGGAAACATACACTATCTACTGACGGACTGAAGGAAGCATACGCTATCTACTAACTGATTGAAGGAAGCATACACTATCTACTGACTGACTGACGGAAGCATACAATATCTACTGACTGACTAAAGGAAGCATACACTATCTACTGACTGACTGGAGGAAGCATACACTATCTACTGACTGACTGACGGAAGCATACACTATCTACTGACTGACTGAAGGAAACATACAATATCTACTGACTGCCTGAAAGAAGCATACAATATTTACTGACTGACTGAAGGAAGCGTACAATATCTACTGACTGACTAAAGGAAACATACACTATATACTGACTGACTGAAGGAAACATACAATGTATGAAGGAAGCATACAATATCTACTGACTGACTAAAGGAAGCATACACTATCTACTGACTGACTGGAGGAAGCATACACTATCTACTGACTGACTGACGGAAGCATACAATATCTACTGACTGACTAAAGGAAGCATACACTATCTACTGACTGACTGAAGGAATCATACTCTACTGACTGACTGAAGGAAGCATACACTACCTACTGACTGACTGAAGGAAGCATACACTATATACTGACTGACTGAAGGAAGCATACACTATCTACTAACTGACTGAAGGAAGCATACGCTATCTACTGACTGACTGAAGGAAGCATAACATATCTACTGACTGACTGAAGGAAGCATATATTATCTACTGACTGACTGAAGGAAGCATACACTATCTACTGACTGACTGAAGGAAACATACAATATCTACTGATTGCCCGAAAGAAGCATACACTATATACTGACTGACTGAAGGAAGCATAAACTATCTACTGACTGACTGAAGGAAGCATACACTATCTACTGACTGACTGAAGGAAGCATACACTATCTACTGACTGACTGACGGAAGCATACACTATCTACTGACTGACTGAAGGAAGCATACAATATATACTGACTGACTGAAGGAAGCATACAATATCTACTGACTGACTGAAGGAAGCATACACTATCTACTAACTGACAGAAGGAAACATAGAATATCTACTGACTGACTGAAGGAAGCATACAATATCTACTGACTGACTGAAGGAAGCATACACTATCTACTAACTGACAGAAGGAAACATAGAATATCAACTGACTGACTGAAGGAAGCATACAATATAAACTGACTGACTGAAGGAAACATACAATATCTACTGACTGACTGAAGGAGGTATACACTATCTACTGACTGACTGAAGGAATCATACACTATCTACTGAATAACTGAAGGAAGCATACACTATCTACTGACTGACTGAAGGAATCATACACTATCTACTGAATAACTGAAGGAAGCATACACTATCTACTGACTGACTGAAGGAATCATACACTATCTACTGACTGACTGAAGGAAACATACAATATCTACTGACTGACTGAAGGAAGCATACACTATCTACTGACTGACTGAAGGAAGTATACACTATCTACTGACTGCCTGAAGGAAACATACAATATATACTGACTGACTGAAGGAAGCATACAATATCTACTGACTGACTGAAGGAAGCATACACTATCTACTGACTGACTGAAGGAAGCATACACTATCTACTGACTGACTGAAGGAAGCATACACTATCTACTGACTGACTGAAGGAAGCATACAATATCTACTGACTGCCCGAAAGAAGCATACACTATATACTGACTGACTGAAGGAAGCATACACTATCTACTGACTGACTGAAGGAAGCATACAATATCTACTGACTGACTGAAGGAGGTATACACTATCTACTGACTGACTGAAGGAAGCATAAACTATCTACTGACTGACTGAAGGAAGCATAAACTATCTACTGACTGACTGAAGGAAGCATACAATATCTACTGACTGACTGAAGGAAGCATACACCATCTACTGACTGACTGAAGGAAGCATACACCATCTACTGACTGACTGAAGGAAGCATACATTATATACTGACTGACTGAAGGAAACATACAATGTATACTGACTGACTGAAGAGGAAGTATACACTATCTACTGACTGACTGAAGG